TAGATCGCGGTGCGTGGCGCCGCCTGCGAGGGGCGGAGCAGGGTCTTCCAACTCCCATGTCAACTAGCGGCGACACTTACGGGAGTACACTTTTGCAGGAACTCATGGACAAACTCGCCTCTCGTTCGGGTTTACTGGCTGAGGTGGCTAAGGGCATCCACCGATGCCATTGAAGTGCTGATGAGCGGGAGGTCTTAAGGTTTGAGGCCCGACGGTGGCAGGATTCCTGGCACTAGCTAGAGAGCTAGGTTGAATTCAATCGGTGTCTGGAGGAGAATTGTACCGGTCGGTTGCTCAGATCCCTAGTTTTCCGTGTTTTTGATTTCGATTAATACCACGTAAATGTTGGAGCGGTATCCTAAAAAAACGAAATGCGCGCTTCTTTCCTCTTTCTATCCTCACTTCTGAGTTAGAATTACTCTTGCGTGAACTATATAACTACACTTGTCGGGAGTTTAGAGCTTCGCCCGGCGGGGCGGTACCCCGCTGGTGCGAGAAAACTAGGTGAGTGAAATCTCGCAAGCCGACGTGTATGTCAGAACTGGACTTCATCACCCAGCGGAAGAGGAAAACAGCTTCCTTCCATGATAAAACATGCACTATACTTAGAGGACAACTACCATAGACGTTGACGCGCCCAGAAATATGAAATAATCAACCAATTAATCAATCGATCAGATTTTCTTGCAGTTTCTCTTCATCCATTAAACAAGCGAAAAGATGACCCCTTGTTTTGACCGTAAGTAAAATTTCGTTATCAGTTCAGATTTTCTTGATCCCGGAGGGGATATAGAGTTGTCCGTTTTTCAGGTTTCACTGTAGTATAAGGGTAACGATGCATTATAAGGATCACTGGATCATCACAGGAAGTATTGATATGTTATTTTTTTAATTTTTGGAAATTTAAATAAAGACTGATGCTAACGTTATTGCCAGTTGGGCCAGGCGCGGTCTAGCAGGAGACATGTAAGCGCCTTAGTTGGAAAAAATGGCGCTGATGTTTGAACTTTTTATATCCTTGTTTCTCTCATATACTCCTATCAGTGGATTACTGTATTACTCTAAAAACTAGTGCAGCTGCAACAATTCTGCTGAACAGAAACACTCAAAATGGGTTTTCAAAAAGTAGCACCCCTAATTCTTAAGAACAACAAATGAAACACTCTCGATAACACTGCAATAAATTAAATATTTTAACGGATATAGTGTTCACGAATACTGTATGAACATAATATAAAATATAGACTACAGCAGTTCTTTTCAAATAGGTGTAGTGGTGCGTTTCCGTTGGCGTTCAGTCCTTTTCATACCAAAAAATCAAGAAAGCTTTTGCTTCATAACGCAAAATTAAATGACGGGCGTCTTATTCCTTGGTGCCTCGCTGTTGCATGCTGACAGATGCGTCGTAAGCAGAGGCGCATTGAATATGACAATTCAGTCTGTACGTGCAGTATGATAATTGGAGGAAACAAATATTGTCATTTTGCAGCCGAAATCGAAACTGTTTCACTGTTTTTGCATCTAGGTCCTGGGTATCTAAAAAACCATAGGAATGTCTCATATGGCAGGAGGCTGCATAGTTTTCTGCGCGCATTGAAAATTAGTAATATTGATACTTGGTCCCCGTGTATTTCCCTGAAATGCGTCAATTTTTTATCGTGTAAATGTGGCTACCGTTACGCAAAGCCGCATCGAGAAACACTAGCGTCCATGTCCAGGCACCCTGTCGTATTGTCCACAGCTCCAATGGAGCATTGATAGGCTTTGGTGGGTAGTGTGGGAAGTTGGTCGAAATCAAAACTGATTCACTGTTTTTGAACCTACTTCCTGGGTATCTAATGAATCCATAGACATATCACATATGTTCGAAGGCTGCATACTTTTCTGTTCACATTGGAAATGAGTAATATTGATTCTTGAATCCCGCGTATTTGTCTGAAATGCGTCAATTTTTGAGGGTGTAAATTTGGTCACCGTTAGGCAAAGCCGCACCAGGAAATGCTAGCTTCATTGTCCTCTCAGTCCGTAGTTTTGTTCACAGCTCCAATGCAGAGTTGATAGGCTTTGGTGGGTAGTGCGTGGCGCTTGGCACGTGGCACGTGGCGAAGCGGCGCGGGGCCCGCGATGAGGGAGCGAAGGGGCCCCGCGGCGGAGAGGGCGTGCCGCGGGGGACGCACGCGTGCCGCGTTGGGAAGCTTTTTTTATTATTTGTTTTTAGAACCCATATTGCAAGAGGGGTGTTGGGAGTTGGAAGCGTAGTACGTGGAAGTGTTTTGACGGTGGCCGCGTTTGTCCAAGGGTCATTTGCTAAATGGCGGACGTGAAATGTGGAGTATGTGGTCGGTCTTACATTCGTGATCCACCCCTCCCTTCTCGAGTCCGTTACGCCCCTCCCCCCGTTCTCCTTTAGATATAAATTCTAGTTCGGAGAAAATTTACTTACGTGAACCCTCCATTGCTTTTTCAAACGTTTCTCGCTAATGGATTCGATGCTTTTGATTAAACTGTGTTCTCAAATAGCGCTTAAAGGAATGGCGTAGATCTCATTTTCCTTGAAATCCCTCATTATTCCAAAATTGCCAAAGTTCAAATATTTTCAACGTTCCTACAACTACAATATTGAAGGTAGATATGTATTTCTTAATAAATTATATTCAAAAACAACTTTAAATAAAGCCTTGCACAATTTTTCAAAGATATTACAGTATTTATCGCCAAATTTTGCGTGAAATGTAGGCAATTTTAAAAAAATTTTAGTCAATTACTTTCTCAAAAAGGGTTCCAAATTTTTCTTGTATATTTCATCCTTTCTTAATTTCACAATCACAATATATTGAAAATAGATATTTTTTGACAAACAATATTTTATTTTAAATTAGATCTTTAAAAAAGTAATGTGTAATTTTTGAAAAAACGTATAGTTTTCGTATTATATCTGCTTCAAATTAATGAAATTACAAAATTCTCAATAACTCATCCAAATTTATTTAAATTGTATCCACTGATAGAACACGAGACGCTTAAAACATTAGAGCAGATCTAATTTTTGTTGAACTCTCTTCGAAAAGAACAAAAGTTAGAAATAATGTGAGAAAGTATGTGCGGTTTAGCCTCACTAGTTGATATTGGAGTGTTGAAAACTACGGAACACTTGATATCCATGTGGTCTAGAATCGAATGTGCTCCACTGAATTTAGAGGGTAACATGACACTGGCGTAGTCTGTATCCCTAATGGATGGAGTCAAAAGGATATTACCCTCAAAGAGATAATAATTTTAAATTGATGAAATATATAATAATTGATAGAAATGTAATTTTACTCGAAACGTCTTGGGAAAGTAAATGTAGTTTCAGAACGCCTAGAATTTTTTACAATGTATATGTGTCAAAAGAGAAGTTGAGGTATTGCAAAAGAAAACAGATTTCTACCCAAGTGAAGTAACGTTTGCTGTTATATGAAAAGGCATTGCCTACGATGCGTGTGAAAGTTGTATTATTCAAGGAATCGTGTTTTTTTCTTGTTTCTTTCTCTTTAAACCAACAATACATGGGTAAAACGTTAAAATCAAAATGATGACTAGTTCGATCCGTTCTCACCCTCTGTACTTTGTAAATTATTGTTTTAAAAATGCAAATCGCTTCTTGGTGGAACTCAACTTCGAAAGGTTAGTGCCTGTAATATGCAGCCCTGTGCAAGAATGCAAGAATAGCCATTGTAATATTGCTAAGGGTTGGGATTAAATTGCACAGAAAATCAAATAGTCCTTTCAGTTTTGCCGTAGATAAATATTTTTTTCTTCCCTTCAGTTTAATTAATACATAGATTTCGCAATTTTCTGACAACTGACTGTCCCTCACTAATTCCAACATGTCCTGCTTTGTTTCCCAGATGTTCCCCACCTGTCTTCAACCTGTACACCCAAAACTCACTTGTGACCACAAAACTCACGTCCCTCCCTGGAAATGAAAACTTTATTTTAAATCGTTTCCCTGTTATGCACGATTACAATGTTCGTTGGAATAATTTGTTTCCTATGCTATTATCTACAAACTTCAATATTCTCGTATTCAATGTGTTGGATGCATGGTTGAAGTGCCATTTTCTATCGAGCAGTAGCACTCTTAAAAAGTTTTGTGTCAGTATCTTCTAATAAACTGTCAAAAAACTCACTTATTCTAGGCGGCATATACTTAGGTTGTTATTATTATTATAGTTATCATTTCAATTAATTGAAACTCGACTATTAGATGACAGAAAAATTTCTTTCGCGGTATTTATACTTAAGCTATTTTGAAAATATGTACTCTAATAACAATTTTTTAGGAGAGAAGAGCTTTAGAATTATGATTCCTTCCAATGATCCTCTGTTTGTACGAGAGAAAGTCAAACTCAAACAACCTGCACTTCACGGTCCCTCTTTTTCCCGTTCAAGATACCGAACTGAATAATAATTAGATCTAAAGTTTGTTGAAGTATTTTTTACTACAATTTGAGGAACACACGTAAACGATTTTAAGAGAGGTATATTAGCGATTTTTTAATCAGTTTACCATATTTTATCCTACAACAATTTTCTAGCATAATAAAATTATTTGAAGTATAAATGCATGAGTCCATTGAAATATATTCGATTTTCACCCTAAATATCTACTACTTCTCCCCATAGTACGTCACACAGTTTTGAACTGTGTTTGATGGCAAATAAGTGAACAAATAAATGAATATATCACTATTAATAGAAAAAATCACAAGTGTGAACATATTTTAAACACTTCGTAAAAAATATTTGTTATAACTCATTAACATTCAATAATTGACAATGTTAAGACATGAAAAACTGAAACGAAAAAACCCTTATAGATGTTGAATTCAATGAAAATAGTTTTATACTCATACTGTTCTTAACACAAATAACAGGTGAACAAATCGTTCAGGCAAATAAATTTATATGCATTATACTACACTTAAAGCTCATCACAGGGAAATAGATTGTCCTACTATTTGAAGCCCTGATATTCTTAAGTTAAGAAATTTCCTACACATGAAATCACATGTACTCCAAGCATAACTTTTGACAGCAAATAATCGCAACTATATCCGGTAAGTCGAAAATCTTCCCGAAGTTACCATTATCCCAATTTCGCGCTCATCCGGAGGCAATATTATATGGACACTTTACAAGGAGCTGCGGGGCGGTGCCCACCTTCTCCCCCTCCTACTCACTGGCCCTCCTTCGGCCCGGCCTCCCTCCGCGCGCCGAGATAAGGAGAGTTAATCCTTGGCGACCCAATGAAGCGCTAATTGAATTCGGGTGACAGATGCGCGCGGGCGAGCGCACCGCCCTGATAGCGGGGCACGCGACGCCACGACGCGATAACGCGATAGGGCTCGGCGCGCGCCGACCCTCCCACGCCTCGCGTCTCCCGGCGCCCCCCTCCCCCCCCACACCCCGCGCGACACGCGTTTCAAGGCGCGTGTCTCCTTGCCTTGTCTCGCCTCCCACGGTTCGGAACTCGAGTAGGTGCAAAGATAGCGCCAATAAGAACGGGAAAATATTGACTAAGAACCGTTCTGACGGTTTTTGTCCCGAATCTCTCGTCGGCGTCTAAATATGTGGTGGGGTGGTAAGGTGACAGAAATGTACTTGATGCGTTTAACACCGGAGAATTTGTAGTGCCTGCTAGAATTGGCTGACTGCTATGACCAGTGGTTCCATGGTTTTCCTATTCACTTCCGGGCAAATGTTGAAGGTCCCCCTAGAAAGTGGGCTGCGAACCACGGGCGATCCTTCTTTCCCTGTGTCTTACCAACCGAGCGATGAGGCCATCAACCATCCTCATCCCCATCTCATGATTCTGAAAAACTTCGAGGAACGTCAGAGCTCCCAAAAGCAGCGATAAGCTGTGAGTCTCCTGAGTGTGGTGGGAAAACCGCTAAATTAAAATTTCTATCAGTATTTAGTTGGTTAATAAATTCGCATGATTTTCTTGACTTCATTTTTTCCACATTTTTATTGTACTATTATTTCTAAGGGAAGTAAATACTCAAGAAATATTATCTTAACAGTACATTAAGGGGCGAGTTTATTGATTGAACTGCCTTAGGCAGGGGAAATTATATCTTAATATGTTACAATTTTTTTGTACATTTACCACGTCCGTTTCTTTTATATTCTCTATTTACTACTTCTCTTTCTTTTTAAATGCGCCTCCTGTTGCTTGTTCACCCATACATTAATTCATATCCCCCTTCTTTTGAACGTCATCCATTCTTCTTCGTCATCTTACTTTTCTTCCTTTTCTTCTCCTTCCACGCGCTTGTATCACTCGCATTCTCCTTCCACGACCCTGCCTGACACCAAGGAATGCGCCCAGTGCGTGCTTTCTCTCTTTAGTCTTCCTTTCCTACCACCCATGCTTGCACTTTACATGTTCGCTTTCTACGCTTCTCGCGGAGTAAAGCCACGTTAACAGCGTATGTGCGCTTGTGTGCAGGTTGCGCGCCGCAGCACGCGCTGCTGGGCAAGACGCGGCGGCCGCGCACGGCCTTCACGTCGCAGCAGCTGCTGGAGCTGGAGAAGCAGTTCCGCCACAACAAGTACCTCTCGCGGCCCAAGCGCTTCGAGGTCGCCACGTCACTCATGCTCACCGAGACGCAGGTGAGCTTCACACGGGAGGATGTGGCTTCTTACAAACAAACAAAAACATAAAGAATTAAACCTATAGCAATTAGCCCATCACATCTCATACCTCTCCTCAAACTTTCATATAAACCTTACAGAAATACCATCACTATTCGAATTCACGCTCTGCAGAAATCCAAACCACAATAAAGGAATTCAAAACAAAATGGATTAAACAGAGATGCCTTAATAGGTTTCCTCAACCAATGTATTAGCTGTAATGAGTTAGAATTTAGTTTTAAGCCACCAAAGCATGTGACGAAGTTGTAAAACTGAACCAGTTGTAACCTTTTCGAAATAAAACAAAAACACGTTAGGGCGCTGGGAAGGTGTGGTTTTACCGCTCAGAAGTTGTGTTAGAGACACGATGGGTACCTAGCCATATTAGATTTACATAGGTTTGCTTAGCTATTTAGATGTTAACTGGGGCTTTACTGCTTAGCATCGGCTAAGATGGCTCAAGGAATCAACTGATACTACTGCAGTACCTCTGACCGGGAGGACGTGGGTTTCAATTACCGACGGTGGCAGGATTTTCGGCACTAGCTAAATAGCTAAGTCGAATTCAGCCGCTGTCTGGAGGAGAATTCTAGCGGACGCCTACTCTGATTAGTAATTTACCGAGGTTCCTTCGGTCAACACCAACGCCAACTTCGGTCAACACCGGCGAAAGCCGGAAGAGCTTAGAACTAGTCCCGGCTGGGTACGGTGGGAGATACCTGGATAGGGAAAACTTCGCAAGCCAACGTAGATCGGCGTCAACCCTCACCATTCATCAGGGGTTAAATATCCGTGCCCTCCCGTAATAACAGCATGAAATACACTTACGGCAATAGTCACAATAGTCGACTCACCCGTAAACACGAAATAACCAGTCAGTGTTTGGAAGTTATGAATGACACACGAGTGTGACCTCGACTAGTTTTGGATGGGTCAGCTTGGATATTTGGCCGATAATTGTGGTTTTACCGCTTGGAAGTTGTGATCGACGCACGATAATCGCCGAGACGGACTAGATACGGCTGGATGTGCTTTAGCGAACTACAAGGAAGTGTGGTTTAACCCTTTAGAAGTGATTCATACACGCTGGGCACCCAGACAGACTTAATATTGTGTGCGCTTGCTTGGACACACCGCTCGGATGGAGAGTGTGACTCTACCACTGGGATGTTGTGCTTGACACACTAAGATCGCGTAGTCAGATTAGGTTTGGCTAAGCTTGCTGCCGCACATCGAGGGGAAGTTTGACCATTCCATTGAGTTGTGTTTGACACACGAGGTGCACCTAAACAGGCTAGGTTTACATAAGCTTGCTTGGGGATTACCTCTGAGAAGTTATGCTTGACAACTGACAGACGTCTGAACAAGCTAGCATTGACAGTGCTTGACTGCGCACGTCTCTCGGAAGGGAAGTGTTTTACCGATCAGAACTTTGATTGAGCGTACGAAGGGCATTTAAACTAGGTTTTGATGAGCTTGTTTGGCCATACAGCTTGAAAGGGTAACGGGGCATTACCTCTGTGAAGTTTTTATTTAATTTTATTTAACAACAAAAATATTTTAAAACAGTGTGTGTCGTCCTATGGAAAGACGTACATACTGTGTACGATATCTTCAGCTCTGGTATCCATACCGTAACTTGTATACTATCTTAAGTTGAATTATGAATACCGGTAGCAAAAAGAGTTTTTGGCAAGATTTGATACGAAAATACTCGTGCCCGAGTAAAGGTGGGCTTGACACACAACGGGTGCCCGTCTAACTTGTTCTGATTGCTCTACCAGATTTTGCTACAATAGCCTTCGACGTTAATCCTTTTTAATCGAATTTCATTTGATCGAATGTCTTTTATACACGATACAATGTTTATCTCAACGGTAGAAATAAAAATTACTTTCCCCTAAATTTAAGTAGTAAGTAAGTTTTGGAAATACATCAGTAATTAACACAATAGTAGCTTTACTTAGAACAAAAGAGCTTAGCTGTAAATTATGTTGTAAAATATAATATAAAATATGAATATGTGTAATGTTAAAACATAATTACAAATCAGATGTTTAAATTGGACTACAATTATTTTTTACTTGTTGATATTATTAAATTTTTATTTTTTCTCCCATTACTTACACTTGTAATGAATGTCAATCATAATTGGTGTTATCGTGTATTTCTATAATATCCTTATTAATATAGTTATTTTGTAATCTCCTAAATGTTAATAGAAACATTTGTTTTACTTCGACAAAATAATGTTTTTTCTCCTTTATTTCGCATTTATTGACTGACTCCATGTTAACGAATTTACTATGAAATGATGTCCGAAAAATACTTCGACGGTAGCATACCAGTGGGAAATGTTAGAGTAAACATTCTCTGTCAAAGTGGCGACCGACACGATTAGATTGCCTACTGTGACAAAGTGATGCAAGTCTTTTGTGACCGCTTGCCGCCCCGCCCCCACTGCGAGACAGATGTGTACACCAGGTGGATCCTCCGATCAGCAACACCCTCTGTTTGGCAAGGGATTAGACAAGCGATACGAGAGTCGTTTATCGCCAAAATCGGTGCCCGTTCTGTATTGTAAGTAGGGGAGCCTTCTTACATATGACTATGTGTCAAGAAATATGCAGATGTGTTATAAAGGTAGAAAAAAGTCACCAGAGTCCAATCAGTGGTATAATCTATCAAAATATGAGTCTAACAGTAGATTGGCAATAGATAATATATACAATAGCTGTATACGGTGAATCAAAGTGAGTGTATTCGAGTGTATCAAGAATAACTGTTAATTTCCATCCGAAACAAGAGAGTAGCTCAACATTTGCTCAAAATGTCCCCTACCGAACTGATAAATACTGTTTTGTCGTCATGTAAATTTCGTAAATTGGATGCTGTAATAGTGATCAACTGATTAGGTAACATTGAATATTTTAAGTCGTATATTTTGCAATTTATCCACTCAAAATTTTCAGGTTTGCTTCCTTCATCTGTTTAAATACAGAAGCTTGATGAACAGATGTTTTATTCTGAAGCCTTCAAAAAAGTGACGAAAAAATCTTAAAACGTTTTACTGTCATATATATTGTCGCCGACGTTACAATGAAAATGATAGTGCATTTTGAGGATGTAATGCCCAAGGAACATTAATTCTTAAAAGAAACAGCATCATAGTGCTTAACACGGCGGTAGTACTTATCTGGATATGGCGACTCATGCAAAACAGTCAAGATCTTTTAAGAGTTGAATACCATTACAATTTGGTAGCGAGGATTTTAAGCTGGAATACCAAGAGAAAACATGCAGTGAACCGGCTTTGTCTGCTACATATTCCACGTGGATCGACCGGCAGAGGTCTAGCAAGAAGGGCCAATGTCAGTTTTTAGTGATATTCGGGTTGTATGTGGTCAATGTGAGCTTTAAAGCCCATTCTTTCAGTACAAGAAAGGATAAAGTCAAAAGTTGATCCCATCTCCTGATTTCACTATCAATCTTAAGTGACATTGGTGACATATCGTAATATTTTGTGACATAATTTACATTGGCCTACTAGTGATTTTGCATTTCGATGGTGTAAGAAGGGTCAATGTGGTTTTAAGTCCGTGAACAGACTCCAATATTGACATTAGTTATTAGAGAGCAATCTCTCTTCTATGACTGCATGATCTTCTAACATTAATATATACGAGCAATATTATATACTATGAAACATTTCTAAACCACATTCATGAAGGGCCAGAACACAATGAAAGTGACAATTATCGAAGTCAGATATAAGTGTCGGATGTCGGTTTCAGATGTCAGATGAGAGAAGTCAGATGTGTAACATTAGTAATTTTACGCATTTGTTTCTTTGCAATTTTTGTAGTTTTGTTTCTACGTGTCATGTTGTCTTTATTATTAAGACATATTGTACTTTAAATTCATATTTTGTTTTTATAATGTGAAAACACATCAAATTGCTGTATGAAACAACACGACAGTGATTCTCTACTGTTCTTGCACAAAAATTGCAATTCTTATTTTCGGAATCATTGTCATTGCTTATATATCTGTTTATTCATTGAAGAAAAATAGGAGTAAAGAATGGAAAAACTTGAGACATATTTTGGTTTTTAACCTTTCTTCTATTAAATAAAATATGAATACAATACTCTAGTCTAGCTCTTCACACATGTGGGGGCATACATAAGCCATGTGATGCTTACGTCAGGCCAAAGACCTATGTTTGGAATTGTCAAAAAGCGCCAATGTCATAAAAAAGTTATAAACAATTCAAATTTCATTCAACTGTCTGGCCAAACTAAAAGTAACGGTGTAAAGTTTTAAAAAACTATTATCTTAACAGAAATAGCGAAATATACAGATATTGTAACTTAGATGGAATGTACTGCTAAAAGAGAAAACCACCCATTCTGTTAAACTTTGAATATTGACATTAGCGCTTCTTGCACCAGGCAATAAATTTATTTCAATTTCTGCCGTCAAACACTAATATCGTTACCTTGAGGATTTTTTTATTTATAACAAAAAATTTACAATCTATTTTTTTTTACAAAATAATAAGTAAATATGATGTTGTAGAATTGTTATGACAATGATTTCCAGTGAAGGTATCCCATCGGTACTCTTCATCTACTTCTTCATACTATAACAAAAAGCAAGTATTATTTTCGGTTGGCTGCAAGTGGGATAGTTTATTATTTATTATTTATCACCTCTACAACTCCCATATAGATTCTCAACACATAACTGAAACATTACCTTGAGGATGATCACCTTTGGCCCCAGTTCAGTCTGGATATCCTCCTAACCACTGCATTCGTCCCATTCGCAGTGACTGTGAACATTAGGGTATTAGACATTTTCTTCGCCCATGCACACACATTTCTACACCCGCCGTTGTCGACAGCGATGCCGCAATCCCAACTCCGTGAACTCTGCCATCGCTGCTGGCTCGTCATCACTACCACCGCAGATTGTACCAACCTCTGCCAGCGACTCTGTTGTTCTCACTGCTACCACTGGCAGAAATATCCCCGTTGTCACTACCATCGTCGTTGCCCTGACCATCGTCGTTGCCGTGACCATCGTCGTGGCCCTGAATATAGTCGTTGCCTCGCACTTCGTTGTTTCTCAGACATCGTCATTGGCGCGAACTTCCCATTGCCCTGGCCATCGCCGTTGCCACGATCCTTCTTCCCCGCAGTCACTCGCTCGCCCCCGCTTCCCCTACCACCGGCGTCGCCGGCGGCAA